CCTCGTTCTGAGCCCCAGCCTCATTTAAATTGCCCAATCAGGGTCCTGTAACTAGGCTTCTCGCTTCTGTACTGCGCTTTTTGCTATAAAAGAACCCCTGAGTCCCCAGCTCGGGGCTCTCAGTTCCCGAGACTGAGATGCCCCCGGGTACCCGTGTATTATCAATAAAGCCTCTTGCTGTTGCATCCAAGCTCGTGGTCTCGTTGTTCCTTGGGTTCGGGTCTCCCTTCCGTGAAAGTATCCCTTTTGGGGTCTTTCACTAGGATTAAAGGTGAATGTCCCCATGCTGTGTCTCAGCTGGTGAGAGGCCTCAACCTTCCCTCCCAAGTCCCCACCATTTCCTGTCTTTCTGACCTGCCTCAGGACAACGATTGTACAGCAGGCAGGGCAGGAGTCTGTTTAACATTACTGACTTCCACTCTTAACAATGACATATTTAAGATCAGGCAGTGCTCAGAAGCAGAGGCAGGTGGATCTCTGAGAGTTCAAGACCAGCCTGGGGCTAGTTCCAGGACAGCCTCCAAAGCCACAGGGAAACCCTGTCTCGAAAAACCGGGGGAAAAAAAAGAAAAAAAAAAAAAGACCAGGCAGTGGTGGCCCACATCTTTAATCCCAGCACTCTGGAGGCAGAGGCAGGGGGATCTCTGTGAGTTTGAAGCCACCCTGGTCTACAGAGTTAGTTCCAGGACGGCCAGGGCTACAAAGAAACCCTGTCCCGGAAAACAGAAAACAAAACAAAAAACCCAACCAAAACCAAGTAATTCTCCAGATTTTTCAAATTTGAACCGTGTAGAGTCAGAGCTGACAGGGTGGACCACGGCTGGGTCTTGTGTGAGCTGAGGCCAAGTTCAGCCTTTCTGTGCTTGTTCATAACCGAGAAGCAGAAGACAGCAGCACTCTGTTTTTCTCTTGCTCTACAAGCTGGGGCTTGCCCTTGGCCCTGGTAACCTTGTCTGGTTATACAACCTACGACAAAACAGACTTCTGGCTCCATACTTCCTTTTGGGGAGAAAAACACCAGCTGACCCTTGTGCTTAGTCCCGGTTCCCTATTACTAAACCAGTCACACACACCAGGTGTGACCTTCAGACCAGGCTGATCCAGCAGCCCCCACCCCCATCAGGAAGCTTGGGGCCCCGCCCTGCTCAGCCCATCCCACGCAGAAGTCCTCAGCCAATCCCTCCCTGTTGCCGGGCCCCTTCCTCTGTCCCCATTGGTGCCAGCTTTGAAGCAGTCGCCCCGGTAGCCCGCAAAGGACGGATCCGTGTGTGGAACGAACTGCAAACGGAGTCCAGTGAGTCACAGACCTTCTAGCACGTTCGAGCACTTCCCATTCTAGGTTAGCAGGTTTGGGATTTTAGGGCTGTGACTTAATACCTAAGTCCTGAGGCCAAGTAGGACATGAAGACATCGGAGTCCCTTTCAGAAAACAGACTGGCAGCTGTGATAATCTGCCCCCACTCTGTGGGGGACATCTGGGGGACACAGGATTTCATGTGGGTGGCAGTGCCTGTCACTGTGACTTGTCTGTGAGTGCCTCTGGCCTCTGTGACTAGTATTGTCCCCTCCTTTCCCATCAGGGTTGTGACAGCTTTGCTGGAGGGCTCACTCCGGGCTGGGAAGCTGTGTTGGGGTGCAGCCGCCAGCTCTGAGGTGAGGCCGTTTCCTCCCTGCTTGCCCTGTGCCCTTGAGGAGCAGGTGACCTCTGTTTGTCGTGAGAACACACTACTGATGGGTTATTAAAAATAAAGCAAAATAGAATAAAAACAATTTGGATGCGGAGTTAAGAGGGGGACTGGGTAGGGGTGTCCAGGAAGGAGCTGCAGGGAGGAAATGGGAGAGGTATGATAAAAATACAATGTATGTATACATGGAATTCTCAAAGATTATTTTAAAATACATATTTTAAAGTGAGAGGCTGGAGCTGAGTGTGGTGGCTCACACACTTGGAGGGCGGAGGCAGGTGGATCTTTGGGGGAATTCAAGGCCAGCCTGGTCAAGGTGAGTTCCAGGAGAGCCAGGGCTGTACAGAGAAGCCTGTCTCTGTCTCGAAAAATCAAAATAAATAATAATAAAAATGCATAGTGGTAGCTGGGCGTTGGTGGCGCACGCCTTTAATCCCAGCACTCAGGAGGCAGAGGCAGGCGGATCTCTGTGAGTTCGAGGCCAGCCTGGTCTACAAAGTGAGTTCCAGGACAGCCTCCAAAGCTACAGAGAAACCCTGTCTCGAAAAACAAAAAAATGCATAGTGGTTTTCGACATAGTTTCATACCTGTAATAAAATGCATTTTGGTCATGTTTGTTGGAAATAAGATAAGAACCTGATTGTTCTCTTCCCCCAGACCCTCCCTGAACATTCCTTCCTTTCCCAGCTAACCCTTGGCCGGGTCCAGCCCTCCAGCCTTCCTCCTCTTCTCCCTCCCCCACCTCTGAAATCAAGGCTGTTTGTCTTTGAACCTTCTAGACTTTGGAAAATGCTGACACCACAAAGCTGATGACTCAACCAAGAAACAGGAGTCATGAGGCTGAAGGGGAGAGACAGCCAAATATAGCTTGGGCGTATCTGGAAGCCTCTATCGCCGTAGAACCCGCCTCGGTGTTTTGTCCCTTCTAAGCTTCTGACTGAAATATAGAAAGAATTGGCCTGCACGGAAATCTGAGAAACCACCGGGGTGTCCCAGAGAACGACATTTTCTCAGTGGCATATGACTTCATTCACGGAAAAAAATCACAGAAATTAAAGTCAGTTTTTAACACTACATCTGATCTTGAATTATTATGAATTCCTAAACCTAAACCAGGGGAGCCAGACACATCTGAAATCTCCCCACCTGGGTGGTAGAGGCAGGAGGATCCCTGTAAGTTAGAGCCCAGCCTGGTCTACAGGGTGAGTTCCAGGACAACCAGGGCTATCATGGTGACCCTGTCTCAAAAAAACAAAACCCTCAAAAAATGCTGGGTTTAGAGGCATGCACCACCATTCCCAGCAAAGGTTCATTTTATTTTTAATAAGTGTGTGTGTGTGTGTGTGTGTGAGTGTGTGTGTGTGTATGAGTACATGCCGCATATGTGTCAGTGTCCCCAGGGACATTTGAGCCCCTGAAACTGGAGTCACAGCCATTATGAACTGCCTGACATGCCTACTGGGAATTGAACTCATGTTTTCTGGAAGGTATACCTGCTCTTACTGCTGAGCCATTTCTCTGGAGACACCAGAGATTTTTTTTTTGAGACAGGGTTTCTCTATATAGCCCTGGTTGTCCTGAATCTCACTCTCTATATGTAGACCAGGCTTGCCTGGAACTTGGATATCCTCCTGCTTCTGCCTCCAGTATGGTGGGATTGAAGGTGTGTACCACCACATCTGCTAACATGTACAAATTTTTTTTTGTTTTTGTTTTTTCGAGACAGGGTTTCTCTGTGGCTTTAGAGGCTGTCCTGCAACTTGCTCTGTAGACCAGGCTGGTATCGAACTCACAGAGATCCGCCTGCCTCTGCCTCCCACAATTTTTTAAAAATTTTCTTTGCATTGGTGTTTTGTCTGCATGTATGTCTGTGTGAGGTCTTGGAGTTTACAGTTAACTGCTATGTGGGTGCTGGGAATTGAACCTAGGACCTCTGGAAGAGCAGTCAGTGCTCTTAATCTCTGAGTCATCTCTCCAGCCCCAATTCTTTTTTTTTTTCAATTTATTATGTTTACAGCATCTGCCTGTATGCCTGCAGGTCCATGGGTTTGCTGGGAATTGAACTCAGGACCTCTGGAAGAACAGCCAATGCTCTTGACCTCTGAGTCACCTCTCCAGCCCCACACGTGCAATTCTTAATGGGTTTATATCTTATTTAATGAATTAAGAGTTGGGGGTTGGATGTAGCTTAATGGAAAATGACTGAAGATTTCGGTTAAAAATCTGGGTCTTAGCTGGGCAGTGGTGGCACACTCCTTTAATTCCACTACTGGGGAAGCAGAGGAAGGAGATCTCTGTGAGTTCCAGGTCAGCCTGGTCTACAAAGTGAGGTCCAGGACAGCCAGAGGTACACAGAGAAACCCTGTCTCACAAAACAAAACAACAATAAAAAATCTGGGACTTACACTTGGTATGGTGGCACACATTTTGATCCCAGCACTTGGAAGGCAGAGGCCTGCCTGGTCTGCATAGCTTGTTCCAGATAGCCAGAGCTACATAGTGAGATCCTGTCTCAACAAAAATAAAAAATTATAGGGCTTTAAAAGGCTCAGTCTCTTAGGTAGGCTAAATATGAGCAAAGTTTTGGAAATTTGATTTTTCCTTAGTGACAATCAGATAGAACCTTCTCGAATTCAAGGACACCAAGTATATACAGGCTCCAGAAGAGCCTGGAAAGATCTGGTTCTGTGGGACTTCAGGTTAATGACAACGGTTTTCAAGAACTCCGTGGATTTTTTTTGCCTTTAACGAATTCAGATTCATTTTCCAAAATCGGGGAGAGATCTCCCCCTTTATAATTTTTTAAAATTTATTAAGCTTTCTTTTTCTGTTCCCCTGGTTTTGAGATTTGCAGAGTCATCCACCCTGTCACAGTGCCAGGGAGCTGAGGGCTGGGCTCAGGGACCGGCCGGGGCTGAAGTGGCTAAGGAGGGGAGGCCTCCAAAGGGACCCCAGTGTGACAAGAGCCAGAAGCCCTAGGTCGCTAGAACGCAGAGGCCACAGGGACCCCCCCCCAGACGGGGTAAGCCGGTGGGGGTGGGGTCTCGGGCAGGAAGCCGCACTGCGCATGCGCCGAGTCCCGCTCCGGCCGCGCTGATCCGAGCCGGGTTCTCGCGCCGACCACGTCGTGATTTGACAAGTCACACACGCTGATCCCTCCGCGGGGCCGCACTGGGTCGCAGCCCTTCCCCACCACACAAAGCTCCACCGCTCTGTGAGCGCCACCCACGAACACTCCATGAGCTGACCTTGCCGGCTCTAGCCAGGCGCTTCCGCTGCAGAGACGGGAACCGCCTGGGGAAGTAGTCCCTAACCGCATTTCCGCGGAGGGATCGCGGGGAGGGCGGGGCTTCCGAGGATTATATAAAGCGACGCCGGGCGGGTCGCCGCTAGTTCCGTCGAGACCCCCGGGTCCTGTTGCCGTGTGTCTGTGAGGACTGCTGCCGCCGCCGCCGGTGAGGACAAAGCCGCCGCGTATGGCGGGACTGAGAGGCCGGGGCGGGGCGTGGGTGGGTGAGTAGGGGGACGGACACGAGCGGCTGCCCGCGGCCTGGACGTTCCGCTTCCGTGGCCCGCGAGGAGAGCGGCCGTCCTGAGGCGGAGGACCCAGCGGCAAGATGGCGGCCAAGTGGACACCCGAGGGGGAAGACGAGCGGCCCTGAGGCGCTCGACGAGGTTGGGGGAAGCAGGCCCGCGACGTCGCTGCGGCCGGTTAAGCCAGGAGCTTGCGGCTTACCCTTTATTTATTTTTTGACGGGTTGCAGGCCGTAAGTGCCTCTGATGTGAGGGCCGTGGGCGGGTGACCGTAGGGAGAGGTCGGTCGGTTTTTCATCCGTTGCGAAAGACGGAAGTGCGACTGACGAGTGGGGTAGGGAGGGTGATGACAGTTAAACCTGGCCTACGGCCCACATGACGTCGCGGTTTCTGTGGGCTCATAATGGGTGGTGAGGCCATTTCCCTGACTATAGCTTTCGCTCGGTCGTAGGACAGGGTTTGGGCCTCGGCCTCGGGTTTAGCCTCTCGAGAGTGGACAGGAACCGGAAATCAACAGAGGGTGGAAGAGAGTGAGCCTAGATTGAGTTTCTTGTCCTGTTTCGGTTAGAGAGAGACTCGCCGCAAAGCCATGGCTGGCCTGAATCTCTAGACTAGAACCTTGGCCTCTGCTACCCACATGATGAGATTTAACGCCTGTGCCACCACCCAAGACTCTATTGCTATGGTCCGGGATTCCTGCAATTTCGTCCCTGATGAGTTTTGAACTATTTGGGATAATGACTTGTGGGTCCTTTTTCCCCCTTCCTAGCATGTGTTCTGACCCAAGTTTGTTTTTGTTTTTTTTGTTTTTTTTTGTTTTCGAGACAGGGTTTCTCTGTGGCTTTGGAGGCTGTCCTGGAACTCACTTTGTAGACCAGGCTGGCCTCGAACTCACAGAGATCCGCCTGCCTCTGCCTCCCAGTGCTGGGATTCCAAGTTTGCTCTTTTGTGGTGTGGGAGGGTTGAGATAAAATAGGAAATCGCTGTCTATGCCCTCCCAATTCAGAGACTGCCTGTCCTCAGTCTCAGTACTGAGAGTAAAGGTGTGAACTGGCTCAGACCTCTTTTTCTTTTGCAAAGTCTATAGTCCTTACTGGATATGAAGGACGAGACGGGATCTCACATCCTGCCTATGTGGGGTAGATCCTATCAATGACTACAGTGTGAATGCGGACCAGGCTTTCATCCAATCCATGCAGACATCTAGGAAATGACTTTCAGCCATTAGTACTGCATCTCCACCTACCAAGTTGATAATATGGAGCAGGTTCACCATACCTAGATGACTTCCCTTTGGAGACATGGTTTCTCGGTGTAGCCCTGGATATTTTGGAAGATGAGGCTGGTCTTAAACTCAAAAAATTCACCTGCCTAAGTCTCCCAAGTGCTGGGATTAAGGACATTCTACAACCCCCAACTACCACTCAATAGGTTTCTTATTTGAACTATGATTTTATGTTTTTTATATTTGGATTTAGAATAGAATTCTTCAGACAGGATCTGTGTAGCTGCAGTTAACTTATGTAAAATAAACTGACATCCATTTCACAAAGATCCAACTGTTAGTGCCACCCCATGAACAGTAAATGTCATTCCTGACCTGTTTTTTTTGTGTGTGTGTGACAGACAATGCAGATCTTCGTGAAAACCTTAACTGGTAAGACCATCACCCTGGAGGTCGAGCCCAGTGACACCATTGAGAATGTCAAGGCAAAGATCCAGGACAAGGAGGGCATCCCCCCTGACCAGCAGAGGCTGATCTTTGCTGGCAAGCAGCTGGAGGATGGCCGCACCCTGTCCGACTACAACATCCAGAAGGAGTCCACCCTGCACCTGGTCCTCCGCCTCAGGGGTGGCATGCAGATCTTTGTGAAGACCCTGACAGGCAAGACCATCACCCTGGAGGTCGAGCCCAGTGACACCATTGAGAATGTCAAGGCAAAGATCCAGGACAAGGAGGGCATCCCCCCTGACCAGCAGAGGCTGATCTTTGCTGGCAAGCAGCTGGAGGATGGCCGCACCCTGTCCGACTACAACATCCAGAAGGAGTCCACCCTGCACCTGGTCCTCCGCCTCAGGGGTGGCATGCAGATCTTTGTGAAGACCCTGACAGGCAAGACCATCACCCTGGAGGTCGAGCCCAGTGACACCATTGAGAATGTCAAGGCAAAGATCCAGGACAAGGAGGGCATCCCCCCTGACCAGCAGAGGCTGATCTTTGCTGGCAAGCAGCTGGAAGATGGCCGCACCCTGTCCGACTACAACATCCAGAAGGAGTCCACCCTGCACCTGGTCCTCCGCCTCAGGGGTGGCATGCAGATCTTTGTGAAGACCCTGACAGGCAAGACCATCACCCTGGAGGTCGAGCCCAGTGACACCATTGAGAATGTCAAGGCAAAGATCCAGGACAAGGAGGGCATCCCCCCTGACCAGCAGAGGCTGATCTTTGCTGGCAAGCAGCTGGAGGATGGCCGCACCCTGTCCGACTACAACATCCAGAAGGAGTCCACCCTGCACCTGGTCCTCCGCCTCAGGGGTGGCATGCAGATCTTTGTGAAGACCCTGACAGGCAAGACCATCACCCTGGAGGTCGAGCCCAGTGACACCATTGAGAATGTCAAGGCAAAGATCCAGGACAAGGAGGGCATCCCCCCTGACCAGCAGAGGCTGATCTTTGCTGGCAAGCAGCTGGAAGATGGCCGCACCCTGTCCGACTACAACATCCAGAAGGAGTCCACCCTGCACCTGGTCCTCCGCCTCAGGGGTGGCATGCAGATCTTTGTGAAGACCCTGACAGGCAAGACCATCACCCTGGAGGTCGAGCCCAGTGACACCATTGAGAATGTCAAGGCAAAGATCCAGGACAAGGAGGGCATCCCCCCTGACCAGCAGAGGCTGATCTTTGCTGGCAAGCAGCTGGAAGATGGCCGCACCCTGTCCGACTACAACATCCAGAAGGAGTCCACCCTGCACCTGGTCCTCCGCCTCAGGGGTGGCATGCAGATCTTTGTGAAGACCCTGACAGGCAAGACCATCACCCTGGAGGTCGAGCCCAGTGACACCATTGAGAATGTCAAGGCAAAGATCCAGGACAAGGAGGGCATCCCCCCTGACCAGCAGAGGCTGATCTTTGCTGGCAAGCAGCTGGAGGATGGCCGCACCCTGTCCGACTACAACATCCAGAAGGAGTCCACCCTGCACCTGGTCCTCCGCCTCAGGGGTGGCATGCAGATCTTTGTGAAGACCCTGACAGGCAAGACCATCACCCTGGAGGTCGAGCCCAGTGACACCATTGAGAATGTCAAGGCAAAGATCCAGGACAAGGAGGGCATCCCCCCTGACCAGCAGAGGCTGATCTTTGCTGGCAAGCAGCTGGAGGATGGCCGCACCCTGTCCGACTACAACATCCAGAAGGAGTCCACCCTGCACCTGGTCCTCCGCCTCAGGGGTGGCATGCAGATCTTTGTGAAGACCCTGACAGGCAAGACCATCACCCTGGAGGTCGAGCCCAGTGACACCATTGAGAATGTCAAGGCAAAGATCCAGGACAAGGAGGGCATCCCCCCTGACCAGCAGAGGCTGATCTTTGCTGGCAAGCAGCTGGAGGATGGCCGCACCCTGTCCGACTACAACATCCAGAAGGAGTCCACCCTGCACCTGGTCCTCCGCCTCAGGGGTGGCATGCAGATCTTTGTGAAGACCCTGACAGGCAAGACCATCACCCTGGAGGTCGAGCCCAGTGACACCATTGAGAATGTCAAGGCAAAGATCCAGGACAAGGAGGGCATCCCCCCTGACCAGCAGAGGCTGATCTTTGCTGGCAAGCAGCTGGAAGATGGCCGCACCCTGTCCGACTACAACATCCAGAAGGAGTCCACCCTGCACCTGGTCCTCCGCCTCAGGGGTGGCATGCAGATCTTTGTGAAGACCCTGACAGGCAAGACCATCACCCTGGAGGTCGAGCCCAGTAACACCACCAAGAAAGTCAAACAGGAAGATGGACGCACCTTTCTCACTACAGTTTCTAGAAAGAGCACGCCTTGTGCATGTTCTTGGGCTTGAGGGAAGGTGTCATAGTTTACCCTGTCTTTTAAGCTGTTAACAAGTTTCATTGCACTTTGAATAAAGTTCTTGCATTCCCAAATGTGTCTGTTCTTGTTTTGGCTTTAGTTTGTTGGTTCCTGGTACTGGAATGTGGAGGCTATCAAGTTTGTGTCATCAAGTCTATGTTAGATACCATTAGGTGAGAATGTTGAAATTTATTGTGTGGTAGGTATTTGGGGTATAAATGGATTTAAAAGATTTGTTACAAGTGTCTGGGTTTTGACTTTAAGTAGTTATGTGCTCTCTCTGCCTTGTGCCCAGTAGTTCAGAAAAAGATATTCAGTCTTGAGTTTAGATGTAGATGAGCTGCCTTATCATGCTGGCAACTGCAAGCACTGTAAGAAACAAATTCTTTGTATTTTTCCAAAACAGGGTTGCTCTGTAACAGCCCTACCTGTCCTGATACTAGCTTTGTAGACCAGGCTGGCCTCAAATTTACCTGCCTCTGCCACATCTTCTTAGAAATCACCTACCAGGACTGGAAAGATGGTTCATAAAAATTTGTTCCTCGGGGCTGGAGAGATGGTTCAGCGGTTAAGAGCACTGACTGTTCTTCCAGAGGTCCTGAGTTCAATTCCCAGCAACCACATGGTGGCTCACAACCACCTTGAATGAAATCTGGTACCCTCTGCTGGCTTGTAGGCAGAAGGCTGTATATACAATAAATAAATAAAATATTTAAAAAAAAATTTGTTCCTCTTCCCAGGTGGTGGCAGCACATGCCTTTAATCCCAGCACTCCGGAGGCAGAGGCAGGCGGATCTCTGAGTTCGAGGCCAGCTTGGTTTACAGAGAGAGTTCCAGGACAGCCTCCAAAACAAAAGAGAAAAAAAATGTTAATAGTTTGAAAGATGGTGGCGCACGCCTTTAATCCCAGCACTCGGGAGGCAGAGGCAGGCGGATCTCTGTGAGTTCGAGGCCAGCCTGGTCTACAGAGTGAGTTCCAGGACAGCCTCCAAAACAATACAGAGAAACCCTGTCTCGAAAAACCAAAAAAAAAAAAAAATAGTTTGAAAGAATAATAGTTGTAGCTGAAGTTGGGTATGGTGGCACTAACCTTTAATCCCAGCACTTGGGAGGCAGAAGCTGGTAAATCTGAGTTTCAGGCCAGCCAAAGCAGTGTGGAAAATTGGCTTCCTCAAGTTCTATGTGATTTCAGGTTTTAATGTAATTAGGACAGTACTCCTTACTAATTACATTAAAAACTGAAATCACATTGAAGTACTGTCCTGATTTTGCACAGTGTGTAATAGGTGCCTAGTGAGGTTAATATGTGTATTGTATATTAGTGGGCCTGGAGAGATGGCTCAGAGCTTCCTAAGAGGATCAATGTTAGGTTCCTAGCACCTAATTGCATCTCATTGCCACTTGTGAGTAGCTCCAGTGCCTCTAACATGGACTTCCCCTAAAGATAATTGAAAACAAGTTAAAAACTGAAACTGAAAAAAAACCTTTTCCAGAACTCAAGCTTTTTTGTACGTCCTCTGATTAATCTTTGGTGTGGCAGGTACCTTTTAATTTGCTGAACCATCTAAATAGCCCATCCCCAGAGTTTTATTTATTTTTTAAGGAGAACCATTTCAAAGTACTGAGTGAAAAGATGCAGATGTGACTGGTAAAATAATGAAAAGTTGATATTTTCTTGTTTCTAAATTCAGCTATTCTATATATTTTCCCTTGAGCCTTTCTGTTTTATGGGATTTGCTAGTCAGTATATGATTTCTTATGGTCAAGGAGTTTGATATACTGGAAATAAAACCTGTTTGTCTAAAGGATATAATCCTGAAGTTTGGAGACGTTACCAAAGTGACTTAATAGTACTATTTAATTTCACAGTTAAAAAAAAAAGATATCATGGTCATGAACCACCCCCCAAAAAAAAGATACCACGATAAAAAACATTTTCAGAGATTTTTTTTCCTGTGTTTGTTTTTGTTTTTCGAGACAGGGTTTCTCTGTGGCTTTGGAGGCTGTCCTGGAACTCGCTTGGTAGTCCAGGCTGGTCTTGAACTCACAGAGATCCGCCTGCCTCTGCCTCCCGAGTGGTGGGATTAAAGGCGTGTGCCACCAACTCCCGGCTAAATCTTTTTTAAAGTTCACTTACAGAGGTGAGGTTGAGTCAAAATATGGTTTGAATAATACATGGCTCCAATAGCAGGCCCATGCTTCCGGACTGGCAGTCCTGGCGAGCAATGCTCATTTCTCCCCAAAGAGGGCTCTAGGGCCACATGCAGTTGACTAAGCAATTGTTGTTCTCCAGCCCTTAGCCAAGGGTCCTACCACAGCTCTGGCTGGATTACATACAGCAGGTAAGAGTGCTCAAAATTAACCACTTCTCCCTTAATCTGCCCATGTTCTGCATGGTCCCCTATCCTCTCCACCCAAGTTGTTCTTTTTTTCCTAAAGTCATCCCTCCCCTGTTCATTTTTTTCACAAGGTGTCCCTTGTAACCCAGGGTGGTCTTGAACCTCCTCATGCCTCAGTGTTGTGCAGGACTGCCTTCCAAGCCACACTGCCACCATCCTCATCAAATCAGTTGTGCCATGGCCCAATGACTTCAGCTGTGGCACCTTGTTGCTTTACAGAAGGAGGGACAAAGAGGGTCTTGGGACCATCACCTAAAATCTAGCTACTCCTCTCGACTGCAGTTCTGTTCTGCTTGCACATGGCCTCCAGGAGGGGCTAAAGAAAATGGGGAAGGAATAAGAGAGAAGCAGACTTCATCTACATAGCCACAGTGAAGTCATTCATCCATGCTTTCAATGTGGCCGCTTTCGGGAGTCATGCATACTCCTGCTCCCAACTCCTCACACATGCTCTGTAAGTAAGTTCAATAAACTCATTTGTTTTTCTGGGTGGACTTTGGTGGACTCAAACCTTTTGTCCTTAAGCTCTTTGGAGGAGGGGCAAGTGTGGCTTCTATCTCCCCCAGGGATGGAATTTTAGCAACACTGAATCTTTCCAAGTGCTGAGATAGAGTCCTTTAGTGGGTTAACATTATCTGGTAGTCACTCATAGTGACTGGCAACTGGAGATCTAGGTTCAGGGGCTAAAGGAAGGAGCACAGGCTAGAGGGGCTCAGAGGAGACCACAGAGGATGGAGAAGGGCAGGGTAATGGTAGAAAGCCTGGGTGCCTCCAGGAGGTGAGTACCTGACTGACTTTCTGCTTGGGATGGAAACCTTGGCCATGCACAAGCTTAGCATGTGAAAACCCAGGGAATGGATTGATCCTGTAGCTAGCACTGGAAACTCCCAGTGAGCCCCAGGCACATTGGAGAACCGTGCTGTGGTGAAAGGCTGGGGCTCAGAGGGTAGAGCTCTTTAAAGCCAGGAGGCACAGGGTTCCATCATCTGCAGCACAATATGTAGGGCCTGGTACAGGTCTGCAATTCCAGAGGGGAGATGGGGGCTGGAGCCCTACCTCACCGTGAGTGGGAGGCGACCTGGACTACACCAGACTCCATACAGCTGTTTTTTTTTCCCCACAGTATATGTAATTAACTTATTTTTCCTCAATAGGGTTTATTTTGTGGTTGTTCAAAGCTTTGTTGAACATCCGCTTGGAAGCTGCTCCTGGGGAGGAAAACCAAAGCACGGGAGCCCAAATCTGCTCTGTGATGATGTTTGAAGGTCTGGTTCCTGTTCCAGCCAGGCTGTTGAAGATGTGATGTCCTCTGGCAAACTTGTAGGCTCTGGCCATAATGGGCTCACAATGTTCATGTAGGTGGAAAAATCAAGCTGAGTTTATTCCTCATTTTTTTTCCTCCTGTGTTGAGGACATGAATTTTTGATAGGAGATGAAGATTAGGATACATCTTGTCTTCCTCAGAGATGATCATAGAAAATCAGAACCGGGGATGGGGGTGGGGGTGGTACACACTATAAGCTAGCACTGAGGAGGCACAGAGGAGCACCATCATTAGGCCATCTGGGCTACAAAATGAGACCCTGACTCAATTACCTAAAACATAAACAAAACCCCCAAAACTCAGAGGAGCCAGCTACAATGGCACATACATTTAATCTCATTGACCCCTGGAGTTCAAGGCCAGCTTGGTCTACATAGCAAGTTCCAGGTCCGCCTGGGCTACATAGTGAGAGCTTATCTAATGATAAATAAGTAGTGCAGGAAAGGGACTGAAAACATGGTTCAGCATTTCCTGCTCTTGAATAGGACTCAAGTTCAGTTCCACATCAATGGCTCACAACCTCCTGGAACTCTGGCTCCAAGAGATCTAACTCTCTTCCGGACTCCACAGGCACTGCACTCAGGTACACAAACCCACACACATATTCATAATTAAAAATCAGAAATAAGCCAGGCAGATGTGTATACTTTTAATTGCTGTCCTGGAACTCGGTTTGTAGACCAGGCTGGCCTCAAATCCACTGAGATCTGCCTGCCTCTGCCTCCCGAGTGCTGGGATTAGGGATTAAAGTTGTGTGCCACCACCACACTCCACTCTAAGAATTCTATTTTTTTAAAAGATTTATTTAATATGTATATGGTGTTCTGCCTGCATGTATCCCTGAAGGCCAGAAGAGGGCACCAGATCTCATTATAGATCGTTGTGAGCCACCATGTGTTGGCTAGGAATTGAACTCATGACCTCTGGAAGACCAGCCAGTGTTCTTTTTTTTTTTTTTTTTTTTTTTTTTTTTTTTGGTTTTTCAAGACAGGGTTTCCCTGTGGCTTTGGAGGCTGTCCTGGAACTCGCTTGGTAGACCAGGCTGGTCTCGAACTCACAGTGATCCGCCTGCCTCTGCCTCCCGAGTGCTGGGATTAAAGGCGTGCGCCACCAACGCCCGGCCAGCCAGTGTTCTTAACCTCTGAGCCATCTCTCCGGCCCCACTCTAAGAATTCTTAGCATTCTAAGAATTCTTAAATGACTTCCATCAGGCCTCACAATTTTCTTAGAAAGAAAAGCAAACTGTGGAATCACATTCCTTTTTTTTTGAATTGCACTTCCATGTGGGTGCTGGGAATTGAACCCAGGTCCTTTGGAAGAGCAGCTAGAGTGGCCAGTGCTCTTAACCAAT